AGACAGGATCTCACAATGCATCACACTCACTCACAGCCCAGGCTGGCCTCAAACCTCAGCCTCCCGAGACAGCCGAGCCACCGAGTTTAGCTGGCCCAGTTTTTTGACTTTCTAGCTTGTTTGCCTATTTTAATTTTTACTGAGACAGGGTTTCTAAGGGATGAGATGACAGGTGAAATTTTTGGCTTCTGGGTTTATGAGACAGGGTTTCTCTGTGTAACGGCTCTGGTTGTCCTGGAACTCACTCTGTAGACCAGGCTGGCCTCGAACTCACAGAGATCCACCTGCCTCTGCCTTCCGAGTACTGGGATTAAAGGCATGTGCCATCACCGCCCAGTGTTTTTTTTGTTGTTGTTGTTTGTTTGTTTGTTTGTTTGTTTGTTTTTGTTTTGTTTTTCGAGACAGGGTTTCTCCGTGGCTTTGGAGCCTGTCCTGGAACTAGCTCTGTAGACCAGGCTGGTCTCGAACTCACAGAGATCCGCCTGCCTCTGCCTCCTGAGTGCTGGGATTAAAGGCGTGTCGCCGGGCTCCAGTGGCTTTTTTTTTTCCAGATTTGTTTTATCTTAGAAAGAGAGAGGGTGGGGGAATGCAGGTACCCACAGAGGTCAGAGGAGGTCATCAGATCCCTTGGACTAAAGTTGCAGGCAGCTGTGAACTGCCTGATACAGGCACAGGGGAACTGGAGGCTGGCTCTTTGAAAGAGCAGCACACACTCTGAATCATTGATCCACCTCTCTAGCTCCAAAGTTGGTTTTTGTTTTGTTTTGTTTTGTTTTGTTTTGTTTTGAGAGACAGGCTCTCACTATGTAGCTCCACAGCTCTCTGTAACTCACTATGTAAACCAGGCTGGCCTCAAACTTGCAGAGATCCCCCACCCGCCTCTGCCTCCTGAGATTTAATCCTCCCAGGATTAAAGGCATGTGCTACCTTGCCTAGCAAACATTTTGGTTTCTGGGAACCCTGATTGCTCTTAGGGCTGACGAGGGAGAGGGACTTGATTGGGGGAGGGGGAGGGAAAGGGGAGGCGGCGGTGGGGAAGAGACAGAAATCTTTAATTAATTAATAAAGAAATAAATTAAAAAAAAGATGTAGGGTTTTTTCCAAGCAAACAAATATACATGATTTAATTGAAAAAAGAGGCTATTTTTTATTAATAACATGTTTTTTTCTGGTTATGTCTCTAAATGAGAACTTTTACATATGATGAGATAAAAGTCTAAAATGGGAGGAGGCTAGAGAGATGGTTTGGTGACTGCTCTTCCAGAGGACCCGGGTTCAATTCTCAACCCCGAGGCCCCACATCTCAGCTCACAGTTGTCTGTACTCCAGTTCCAGGGGACCCAATGCCCTCTTCTGACCTCCAAGGGCACCAGGCATGTAAGCGGTGCATAAACATACACTCAGGCAAAACACTTCTACACATCAGTATTTTTAATTAAAAAAAAAAAATCTAAAAACAGGAATGGAATGGCAGCATTTTTCGGAGACAAAACTGAGAAGAGGGGCCCAAGTTGGCTGTGGGAAAAGTAATAGCCTGCCTCAGAGCCACCGTCCCTTTTCCCCTAGACAGAGGCTACCAAGAGAGTCCAAGGAAAGGCTGGGCAGCTCCCTGTCCATCGGATACTCTTTGCCCAGTTACAGATGGGGAACCCGAGTCTTGTCCAAGCTCACTAGCCACCGTCTTCCAGTGCGCCTCGCCCTAGAGCCGGCAGACCTACTTACCGTCCAATCTCTGAGCAGCGCTTGGCGTCCGTGGCCACCGCTGCCCTGGAGTACACATGGTCGGGCTTCCTAGATGTGTAGGGCAGCCAGATGCAGAGGGCAATGATGACAAATACCAGAACCACGGCCACCAGGCCCAGCACCACGAACCGATTCTTCATGGTTCTGTTGCCCAGGGAGAAGGAGTAGGGTCAGGTCCAGCGCCTTGGGATGTTCCAGACCAACCCTCACAGGGCACAGTCTAAAGTCAAACCTCAGGGACACAGCCCTGTGCCTCCTTTTAGCCTTCTAGAACATGCATGGGATGTCCAGCCCTCAGACCTTTGGCCAGGCCATTTCTTCTGCCGGGAGCTCTGGATCCCACCTCCGCTATTGCAAATCCTGTTTATCTTCAGAGCTCATTCCTGTATGGACCTCATTGCCAGCACAGACCCTCCCAAGGAGACCCTTCAGACTCCACAGGCCTTGGATAACTGCCTACAGAAGCCAAGATGCTACTGCCCTGAGATACACTCCAAAAAGGAGAGGATACGTCCCATTCCTTCTGGGTCCCCTACCCTAGCTGAGAGCCTGGCCCTGTCCACGGACCCTGGAGTGGCCTTCCAAGGAGACCCAACAGTGCCCTGAAGTAAGTAGACTAGCTCCACAGGTCAGGACTCACCGTCCAGTAGGAGCTCCACACCTTCCCTGGGGAGGTGGCTCCTGAAAAACAGCTATGTAGACAGGCGAGCCCTCCCCAGCACACTGCAGAAAACTACGGTCAGTCTTCCCCGAGTCTGCTGCAGCAGGCCACCTCCTTGGACTCCTGAAAGTCACAGTTATACCTGAAATGGGCCCTGCACTTCCTGGGGTGCCCGATGTGATGATCTCCTTCTGCCTCTAGCTGGTTCTCTGCCTCCCATTGAACTCTGGAGCCAAAGAGACCGCCAGCCGCTTGCGTGTACGCATGACTTCGCTCAAGCGCTACCCCGGGAAAGGGTCACGGAACAGGGCAGGGAGGTGCCTGGGCATTCATGTGTAAGCCCAGGATTTGGAAGTAAGAGCGGCACGTGAACAAAGGGATCCAAGAGTCCAGGCCCTTCCCGAGGCTGGAGCTGGTATTCACCTGCTGTGGGGCTCCTTTGTACGGCGCGACCCTCACTCCCTCAATTGCAGGGGTGTTTTGGAATGAGAACACGTGTGGACTGTTAAGCAGCGCAATGGCTAACACCTGTAACGCTAGCGCTCTGGAAGCGGAGGCGGCAGAATTGCCGGGGATTTGAGCCCAGCATAGGTTACCTAGTGAGCTTGAGGCTAGCCTGTGCTACAGCATGAGCTACTATCTCCGGAAAAGAGGGGGCTGTTGGGAGAGGGCTGGAGGGATGGCTCAGTGATTAAGAACACTCACTGGCTCCTCTTCCAGAAAACCTGGCTTCCATTCCCAGCTACCACATGGTAGTTCACTCTGATGCCCTCTTTAGGTCTCTGTGGACACCAGGCATGCTGATAGTACATAGACAAACACGCAAGCAAAACACTCATGCGCAGAAAACAAAGTAAATAGATCTTTTTTAAAAACTGGTTCCTAGCTATTTCCCCTGGGGATTTCCTTCCAGACACACAGAGAAGGAAAGTCCCAGCCTTACTCTGAGGCTGGGGGGAGGAAGGTAATCCCACAAGAAGAAGAAATGCACTGACAAAGTACGGGGTGCCCTTCTCCCAGACTCCATTTCCTCCAAAGGCTGGCATCTACCAGAGAGTCTTTTCATGAAGTCCTGGGTTACCTCCCACTCTCTGGCTCTGGATATCTCTCTCTCTCTCATTATTCTGTCCTTTTTTTTTTTTTTTTTTTTTTTTTTGAGTCCCCGAGTTCAGAATCACAGGGTATTCCATGGTCTAGGGATGGCGTTCTTGCCCCGTCCCCATACCTGAGAAGAAAAATTACCAACTCCATAATAGGAGAGCTCCTGCCCTCCTCCCCCATCACCCCCCCCCACACACACACACTTGGAGGGTTGAGTGGTGGGTGGTGTAACAGGATTTGATGCCTCATTTTATGTGGGAAAGCAGATTTGCAACTCTTGAGGCAGAGGGGAGAACTGAGCCCTGGGCAGAGGGGATGCCACCCTAAGTCCCCAGTACCATCCCGTGTAGTTCTCCCTGCCTGAATCCAGGCATGGATCTAACCTGAGGTCACAATCTCATTCCTATAATTCCTCTGGCCAGCTTGGTCCTCCAGAGGCAGCTGGGGGGTTCCTCATATCCATCATGGCAACCAGGCCCTGTTCCTGTTGTCCAAGGGACAGTCTAAGCCCTTCTTTAGACCTGCAAGCTTTCTGGGCACATACCCTGAGCCCTGGGGTGAGCCTAGTCAGGGTTGAGGATTCTTGGTGAGAAAGCCACATTGGGGGTTTCAAGGGGTCTTAGGAGCCAGACCAGCAACACATGGCATCATTCATGGCTGGTACAGAACACTCCCATCCACACAGTAGGGTAGGGAACGGCCATGACCAGTGCTCCACTCCGTGCCTGCCCTCATGCAGCTCTGATCTAACTGGGGCATCTCGGGCTTCGTTTCTCCCAGGTTTGGAGCTGTAAACTAAAAGAAGTCTCAGGGCCCCGAGGAGAGCCTTCCGTGACTACATTATTACACGCTTCACCCTTCCGTGTCCACCCACCCATGCCTCTGTCCACTGAACAGCCCTAGAAGGGCACCCGGCAGGATTCCTTCTTCCAAAGAGTCTGGGGAAGGAAGTGGGCAGCCTTGACCCCTGACCCTGTCCCTTCCTCCTGGGACAGTATGACAGGGAAGGCTGGCCCTGCCTCCTGTAAGCAGATGTCCCAGTCCAAGCGGAAGACACCCTGCTGGAAGCCTGGGCTTTCATTTCCCACCCCTCCACCCCAAGTTTTCTCAAAGATCCATTAAAAGAATGTGGAAGGCCAGAAGCCCCGGCTCTACCCAAACCATTGTTGGGAGGGAAACTGAGGCACTGCTCCTCAAACCCAGAACCCTCCCTCTCTGTAACTCTGATGGATTTCCCAGAGGCCCCGGAGGCAATGGGGACCCAAGAGAGAGACCCTCCTTCCTCAGATGATGGTTCTGGGATGGGGAGGAAGAGGTGGCCATAGAACTGACTGCTCCCCCTCCCCCAGAAGCAACCAGAGCCAAGCCTGTCAGCCTTGCAGAACAGCTCAGTGCCCCAACCCGGACTTGATATCAGGATCTGAGGTTGGGCATCTCCTCAGGGCAGAGGTAGGAAAGGGTCACTAGTATTCCAGGACCAGTGCACTTACCTAATCCCAAGGGACCAGAGGTCAGCTAAGGGATGTCCAGCATCCCAGAAGGGCAGCTGGAGGCTTCTGAGTGGGGTGTGGAGTAGGGAGTCCTCTGTAAGAGGTCCAGCCAAGCCTGGAGAATGGTCAGTATTGACGGCAAGGCAGCAAGGAGGCGCAGCCTAGGCAACCAGGTGACTAAAGTTCACACAGCCCCAGGAGGGCCCTGGGCGGGGAGGTGGGAGGTGCTAAGAGCCTGGGAAAGGGGCTCCCCTTTCTCGGATTTGGTCCCCTCCAAAGGGCAGAGGCCACCGGTGAGCCCTTCCAGAAAGCCCACCAAGACCCTCTGTGACTGTAGAGACAGACACAATGTCCTTGAAATGTTCCTGAGGCAGTGGAATAGGGGTGCCCCCTGGCACTAGACCATAGCCCAGATCTAAGAGGTCTTGCTGTACTTTACTGGTCAGTGACAGAGGTATGTTCCTGGAACAGAGCCTAAGGCCTCTGCGTCCAGACCGGTTCAACTACCAATCAAGGAACATTAGCTCTACAGGCTCAATCAGTGACAGGAGCAACCTAGAAAGACAAGACCTGTTCTAAAGTCACACAACCCGGAGGGCAATCCTGCCACCGATTCCTGCCCCCAAATTGCTGCACGTACCTGACAAGCTCACCAATGAAGTTCCAACTAGACCCAGTTGTAGGTCTGCCTCAGGGGCATCCTAATCCCTCCTGGGATCCTAATCCCTTCCCCATTGGCCAAGAGGAACAATTCCCTGACTCCTGCACTCAGTGTGGTAGATTCCCTGTCTCCATTAGTATACAAACCTCACATGCCCAGAGATGCTGATGGCTGCTATGCTGCTGGCGCGACCTCTCCAGACACCCCCCACATCACACACATGTATCCTGTACACATACATACCACACACGTGTACACACATGCACACACACTAATACACACATACACCTACTGCACACACACACACATCACACACACCAGCACACACACACACACACACACACACACACACATCACACATACATCCCGAGCTGAATCTAGGCCAAGTAAAGCAGATTCCCAAGATACAGCAGAGAAGTAGGTACAAGAAAGACAGACCAACAGCCAGACCAGAACGTCTCTGCTAATCTTGCTTGTCCACTGGAGTGTGTGGGCTGCTATGAAGTCTCAAGGCCACAGGAGTCAAACATACCCACCCACAAGAAATGAAGTTTAATAGCAACGCATGCATTTAACCTCAGCACAGGGTGAGGGGAGGGGAGGGGGCAGAGTCAGACTGGTCTTTGTGAGTTCATGGTCAGCCAGAGCTATGTAGGGAGACATCTCAAAAAGAAAGAAAGAAAACAAAAAGAAAAGAAACCGAAGTTTAGCCGAAAGCAGTTTGCCTGGGAGGTCTGCAGATCACACATGGGCCAGGACACCCCATTCCACTTTGTTTGTTTATAAGGACATCTAGGTACAAGAACACAGATCTCTTTGGCCTCCAAGGCCTGTCTGTACTCTGACAGGACACTTACTTCTCCCAAATCTAAAGTTAGGATCTGCCTGAAGTTTGCTGCCCAAACTGGTGTGGACAGCAGAGGATCAGAAAACACAATTACAATCCCCTTACACACACATCTATACCCCCTTACACACATGCCTATATCCCATTACACACACCTATACCCTTTACACACACACCTATACTCTTCCAATGACTTGAAAAGTACTGCTTGCTGGGAACCTGATGAAAGAGCTTAAAACACCTAGGCACAGACCTAGAGGTGACAGAGTAAATAATTCATTGCACAACAGTCCCTGCCCCACCCCCAGCCCAAACCCAGAGAGGGGCAGGCAGGACTGGAGGGCGCTGTGCCTGTGGAAGGCTGACCATCATTCCTGTTCGGACTGTCAGCCCTTCCTGGGTCTCAGTTTCTTCAAACTCACTTCCGGGGAACCAGGGCCCAATGTCTTCTTCTGAAGAGTCTGCGACCCCACCCTGAAACCCTTAACAACCACCCTACACTTGCAGAAGAATGAGAGGAAAGCCTGGGCAGGCCCCCTCAAGCCCGACTGTCAGGTAAGAAATAGGGCTCTGCCTACCTGTGTGAACCCACAGGGACCAGGGCACGGGAGCCTGCTGCCCCGTTATCCAGAAGTGTGGTACACTCCTGCTGCGCAGGTGGCTACAGGGAGGTTCTGAGAGGATCACCAGAGCCCCCAGAGTGGCGTGGTAGAGCCAGGGGACAGAACCAAGTCTTCATACATTCTTGGGGGGTCCCCAAGTCTATTTTGCCCCACCTACGGTGTCCAGCAGCTCAGAGAGGGTGAGGAGGGCTTTGTGGGGGTCACACAGCAGCTGTGGCACAGCCAGACATGTGCTGCATTCAGTCCCGGTCCCACGAGGTCCCACAGCAGCGGAAGACTAAGTCCCCATCCCCAGCTGTGACCCAGCTCCTCCCTTCCCTCCCCCAGCCAGCCTGGGTTGGGAGGAGGTTTTAAAGGTACAGGAGCTACTCCAGGTAGAGAGAGGGTTGGCTCCAAATCCAATCCCTGAGGCCATGTGACCTGAAAGGGCTGTGGACAGCTCAGAGCCTGGGAGGCTCCCCAAGAAGAAATCTGAGCCCAAAGGGACAGGTAGACCTTAAAGAAGAGAAGGGACAGCTATGGCTTCTGTGTTCAAGTAGGGGTCACATAGACCTGGGGTACAGCCAGATGCCCTAACCTAGTAGAAGTTATGACTGAAGGCCTCTGAGGCCCCACCAGATCTATGGAGTCTTACCAGGAGGAGGCTGGCCCCTCTGGACCATCTGTGCCCCCGAGCGGGGGAGGGGATGCTACTCCAAGTATTTTGGTTAACTGGATTGGAGGAAGTCTCACCACCCAAGAGTCTTTCCTAATCCCTCAGTTTTCTGGGTAAAGGAAATGGGGGGGGGGGTAGGGTACTTGGCAGGGGAAGTGGGGGAAGGTCCATTTAAGCCCTCATAATCTCTCATTGAATGAGATGGGGTTTGTTTCCAAGAGAAGCGGAAATCCCAAACCTCTAGGCCCTGGGATCTCACAGTCCATAGCCTGTCCAATTTTCTTCCATTTACCCTCATTTAGTCAACTCCTTCCCCCGCCAGCTACTCCCCGTCTCTCTGAAGTCTTCTTCTAAGAGGCGCCCAACCTGCTTGGGAATAACCCAGTGCTCTCTGGATCTACACAGTGGCTCTGTAGATAAGGTGCTCCCGCTGAGCCTGACAATGGGAGACAATGGGAGTCCCATAGTCCCGTGGTCCCGTGGCAAAGGAGAGAAGGGACTTCTGAAAGCTGTCCTCCAGTCTTCACAAGCACTCTGTAGCACAAATATGTATACCACACACACACACACACACACACACACACACACACACACCCCAAATTGATTAATGTTGGGGCTGAAAAGACGGCTCATCTTAAGAGCACTGACTACCCTTTCTTCTGAGGACCCAAGTTCGATTCCCAGCACTAACAACGGTGGCTCGCAACCATCTCTAACTCCAGTTCCAGGGAACTCTGACGCCTTCTTTGACTTCCTTGGGCACTTACATGTATGTGGCACATAGACATACACATGGGCAAAATACACACACACATAAAAAATAAAATAAAATTTAGAATATTTTATTATTACTTACGTATACATGTGTATGTGTGTGTATGAGAAAGTCAGAGGGGTGTCAGGTCCCCTGAAGCTGGAGTTACAGGCAGTGTGAGCTGCCTATTGTGGGTGTTGGGAATTGAATTTGAATCCTTAGCAAGAACAGTATGTGCTCTTAACCACTGAGATGTCTCTCTAGTTCCAAAACAATAAAATAAATTTAAAAGGAGGTTTTAAAGCAAGCAAGCAAACAAACAAACAGATAGTTCCATGGTTAAGACAGAGGCTGCTCTTCCAGAGGACCCAGGTTTGATTCCCATCACCCACATGGTGACCCCATAACTGTAACTCTAGTTCCAGGGGATCTGACTCTCTCTCTATTCTGGTCTCTAGGAGCACCAGGCACACAAGCAGTCCGCAGGCATACATGCAAGCAAAGCACCATACACAGGAAATAAAATTAAAAAACAAACCAAACAGTGCTTTTAGCCAGGTAGGGAGGCCGGGGCCTCGGAGGGACCGACACTAGGATGGAAGCCCCAGAAAAGGATCAGGGTTAGGGTTGAGACTGGATTAATGCTGGAGGAAACCCACCCACGAGTCTGGAGGTGGACTTAGAGTCTTCCTGCAGAGGCTACGTGGATGGTGTGGAGACTCTTGACCTCCCGTACCCCCACACTGAACTAAGGTGTCAGGGCCGGAAAGAGGAGCAGCCAAGCCTACAAGCCTAGACCTTGGAAGCCAGGCCAGTCTGGACTTTGAGAGCCCTGGGAGGTTGGTGAATATATCACCATGCTGGGTAACCCATTAACCCCGGCTTGCTCATTAAGACCCTTGTGGGTGCCTCTTACTCCTTGGCTAGTTCTAGGGAACTAACCGGGCAGAGGGCAGCCATGAGAAGGGTGTGTTGGTGGGGACATGGGTGAGGGCTCACTGACCTGTGCTCTTGGTGTACTGATCCCGGCAGGAGGTTTTGCACGCCAGGGTAGCCTGCGGGTGTCACGCCACCATCGCCGTGCCTTTCATCCTAAAATTATTCCTTCTGTGCTGGTACCATCAGTCCATGCCTCAGGGGCCTTGGCCAGACTGGAGACTTCGGAACACAGGTAGCAGGAGACTCAGGAGTTACTCCAGTTCCCCTGGGCAGTCTCCATTTACACTCTCCAGAGAATATTCTAGAGAATTGGGTTCAAAGTGCCCCCCCAACGTACATCCTGTTTCAAAAGGATCATCTTCTCCTACCCCACCTGAGAAAACCAAGTAAGCTAACTTGTGTTGTCAGTACAGGAAACCAAATGTTTCAGTTCAGTGGGCTGGGGAGGGGTTCTGCCCACGGCCATTCAGCAGTACAGAAACCTATCAAGGAAAGGCTGTGCCAACCACTTCCTGAAACTGGCATCTCACTGTGGCCTCCAACCACGCCCCATGTCACTGTTAGGTCCAGAAGGCTGACCACACCTGAATGCCAGGAAGCTCTGAGCAGGTAGTGAGCCCCCGGTGGGTAAGGGTTATTACAGCTGAGGTCAATAGTCTAAGCAGCAGACTCAGTGTGAGTAAGCAAAATGGGTGGATCCAGATGTAAGCAGCACTTCCCCACGCTCTAGAACTCCTGGGACAGGACTGCCCTCCGCGCCCGGGGAAGCCGAGAACCAGGATACCATCTGGGACATTTTATGCCCCCATTTAGTAAACTGATGGAATGAAACTGGCTTCAGACCTCAACCATCGTAACAACTTGATCAACTTTAGGATCATCACAGAATCTGAAAGTCTGACTTTCCAGCACCCTAGAAATGTTGGCTTGCACATCTGCCCCGCTGGGGAGCTCATCGTCTCTGAGAGTGGTTGGCGAGTTCTCTCCAGAGTCAAGTCCTAGCTTGTCTCTTGTGATTCCTTTACAGGCTACAAGAGTCAGCTCATTCTGGATGGGTCTGGTCCCAGACCCTTCTTATCATCTGAGGCCATAGATCAGAGAGGCAAGGGGACACCCGTGTCCTTTGGCTACCTGGCTACAACCTCTCAGAACCACACAGACCACACTGGCTGGATTGAGGAGTCCTCAAATGGGGTCCTGTCATCCCACGGGTTGGTACCACTCGGCACTCACCTTTGATGTGAGTGGAACCTGAGCCAAGTGTGTGGTTCTCCAGAACCGTCGGCATTCAGCAGCAGTACCGGCCTGGTACCTGGTAGGTCAAGTCCAACTCCAAATTCCAAGGGTAGAACCACAGAGACATGGGTCCTCAAGTCTCCCTGATTCAAACCTGACCTCACTGGGAGCTGGTATAGGGACCTGGGAAGCCTTTCCCTTTCTGGCTTCAGTTTCCCCTCCAGAGAGGATAAGAAACTAGAAGAGTCAATGAGACAGACTTCAGGAGACTCAGGAGCTCTCCCAAGCCTCAGTGTTGACTGGCTGTGGCACTCAGATCTGAAGTCACTTCTGTTCTGCCTGATGAACAGTTCAGACGCAAAGCACAGAGTGCCCTCTAGGGTTGTCCCACCCCCCTGCTCAGGTGGCATTTATTGTATCACCTGGTAATTTTCTGTGGTGTCTGGAATCTCCAGGGAGTTGGGAGAGAAGCCCTGTCCTATCCAGGTCCTGGCCCTCCCATCCCATGCCATAGTCTGCCAGAAAACCAACTCGTTTCTGTCCCACTGTCTCCTGGACCACAGGCCAAGCACTCCTGTTTACCCACCAATTCCCTGTGACTTTTTTGGTACCCAAACTGCCCCACACTTTCCATACAGACCATGCTCAGCTTACCCAGGTTCCCAGAGCTCCCTTCCTGGGCGGCAGTTCCTCTGCCTCTCTTACCTCTCGGATGCTGAGCTATTATTATATTATTCCTACAGAATCCAAGTCTGAGCCGCGGGCTGGGTCAGATGCCCAAGGTCAACATGCCTAAACCTGAGCAAGCAACTGCCCTCCTCAGACCTCTTACCAGCCACAAAAGCCAGAGTCCAGCCCCTCAGAGGCCTTCACTGGTCCCTTCCAATTGGAGCTATCTGTGACCTCCTCCAAGCCACACCTAATACCCTCCCCCCACCCTCCCCTATGGGCCACTCCTATCACCTGGTGACACCCAGTCATAGGTTATAACGTTGCTGTCTCTCTAATGGAACTCCAGGACTGTTCAACATGTAAATTAGAACTTTCCTCTCCCACTGGAAAACCCTTCAAAGGCCCCCTTTGCCCTGCAGAGAAATTCTTGCTTTGCTCGTGCCTGCCCTGCCTTCTCTCTGCACTCAATGCTCCTGCCAGGTCATTTTACAGGCTACTACCTTGGCCCATCCTTCCGGCATAGCCCTACCTCAACACTACCTTCCCCCGTCTTTATTTGTGCTCAGCTCTCTGGGCAAACTGCCACTCCCGCTTCCTCTGCTATAGTCTGGGCAGCATTCACAGCCCCCAGCCATCGCTCCGGAAGGGATTGACGCTAGCTGAGGGGTGCATGGGTGGGCTCATTGGAAAGCCGTTAAGAGGCGCTAGCTAGGTGTGGCTCAAAGGTAGAAGGATGGCCAAGCATGCAAAAGACCCTGGGATCAACTATCAGCACCAAAAGAAGAAAGAATGCTACACAGGATTAATTACTTAGAAAATAAAAGCACACTTATGCAGCGCTGCGCCATGCAGGCTCTTTTTACTCATATCTCTAATCTTAAAATGCCTTTGTCATTTCACAGACAAGGAAACTGGGGTTTGTGGAGGTTTCTGTGGCGTGTTCTTTTCCCCGCCACCAAGTTCATCCCCACCAGGGAGCTCAGGGTATGCCCTTATTTAGAAACAGAGTCTTCACAAGGTAATTGGTTAAGATGAGATCATACTGGATTCAGGTAGGCCCTAAATGCAGTAATTAGTGGTCTTACAAAGATGGCCGTTCGAGCAGCTGCACAGGGAAGAGAGCCCTGTTTAGACGGAAGCTGAGGTTGGACAAGAACAAGCCACACAGCCACAAGGGCTGCCAGACAGCTCAGGAGAGGAGGCAAAGAAGGATCTGGCCCCATAGTCTTCAAGGGAGCATGGCTCTGCTAACATTTGGATTCCAGGCTTCCAGTCCCAGAACTTGGCTGCTTTAAGCCACTAAACTTGGTACAACCGCAGGAAAGTAATGTTCCGCCCTCCGTTGTATATGGCTACACACTCAGCCACCAGGGAATCTGAATCAGATATTGCCTTCTTTACCTCTGTGGCGATTCCTGCTGAAGGCAGAGAACCCATTCCTGATAGCGTAAGCTCAGGGAAACTGTCTCCTTCCCAGTGAAGGTTAGGAGACCATTCTGTGACCAGTTGTGGTGGCTCAGATCTGTAATCCCAGTGCTTTGGAAGTGGACAGAAGAAGGTCAGGAGTTCAAGGCCATCCTCAGTTGACGTGACTGAGGCCAGCCTAGGCTAGTGAAACTGAAAAACCAAACACACCACAAAGATAGTGTCCTTTATCATGGTTACCAGAAAGCTCAGCTCAGGACGCTGTGATTTCTTGCTGAGATAAAAGCCTAGAGTTTCTCTCTCTCTCTCTCTCTCTCTCTCTCTCTCTCTCTCTCTCTCTCTCTCTCTCTCTCTCTGTGTGTGTGTGTGTGTGTGTGTGTGTGTGTGTGTACTTGTGCTTTCTCATTGGGTGGATGGAAAAAGAACCCAAAGGTGGGGCTGGTTCAGTTCCATGCCCTTCTGTAGCCCTCCACCCTACTTGCCGGGTCACCCAGACCTTGGGTTCCTGTCTACTCCCAGTGGGTTACCACAGGTGTAGTTAAGGGCTTAGAGCAACCATGGTGTAACTGTTGCCAATACTTATCTTCTTCAGGCAGCTCCCACTTAGAGCCACAGACGTTCTCATCAAGGCCTAGAGTCTGACGGTGTCCTCCTCCTCAGACTCACCGCCTCTCATTTTTTAATACCCCCATGGACTTTGTAAGGGTGGCAAGGTCGCCCTAAAGGACCCTAGGTCAAACCCTATGCCCCACATCATTCCTAGCGATGGAGATGGCAGCATTGGTTAGTCTGCCTTGCCATGAGATTGCCACAAACCTGCTGCCCAGGACAACTCCAGGAGAAGAGAGAGCCAGCAGCCTTCAGTTCAGTAAACATGGAGACTGGAGACATCCCCATTCCGGAGGGGACAGCTCTGTCTATGGGGGCTCTTGTCTAAGTCAGAGTAAGCCAGGAAACAGTGCCCAAAAGACAACTCACTAGACACCCAGAAGGCAGGCAAAGGAAAGCACCCCCTGGCATCTGGGGCCAGATACCAAACTTCCTCTTTTCCTGGAAAAAGTTCTTTAGGAATCTCTCGGCTAGGGAGGGTCATAGAGGAGGGTTGGGGGCAATGCTCTACCTGCCGCAGGACTAAGGCATGCCCGGTATTCCTTCCTAATGTGGTACTCAACCCCCTTCCTTTCTCCTCTCCCCGCTGGCTCCCACCTTCATCTTCTCATACTCCAAGGTATGATACTTAGCCCTGGCTGAGCCTCCGGAAACAACGTGGTCAGGATCTGGGAGGCGTCCAGGTCTGTCTCCAGCCCTAAGGGTGCGGGGAGGAAGAGAGAGAGGGAAAGAGCTTACCTGGCCCCCAGATCTGGGCAAGGAGTCTAAGAAGTCCCTGGGACACTTGGGCTGCCGGTCAAAGCCCTGGCTTTTACACACTGTCAATTCAGCAACAGCCTTGGCTCTAGGGGAGGGCAGGCTGGGTAGTCGTGCAGGTTTGCCAGGGAGGAAACCTGTAGTGCCAAGGTGGCCCTAGGACAATACTGCTTCAGAGGAGGGGATGGGAGGCTGCTGGGGAAGAGGAAACCTAGGAGTTAGTAAAAGAGGTGACCGGGTGTCAGCGAGTGGTCAAGTAACTCCCATTCTGCTGACTTCTGGCTTGTCTTTGGGGTCTTCCACCTCCACCTCCAGCTTCTGGTCAAGAAACGCTTGACCCAAAGGAAGGAAGGATCCTGGCAGGCATCCCTTACTAAACGCCCTGGAATGGGTCTCCCTGCACTTGTTTCAACTAGGCTTGCACACTCGCCCAGCCGGGCATCCCAGACTCAGGCTGGACACGTTCCTTAATTAGGGGTAGGGGTGGGGGCGGAGGCTAGAATGCAGAGCCATAAATGCCCCCTCCTACGTATATATAATGTGAGATGCTAAGAACTGGGTCTAGGTAGGGCTGCCAGGCTTCCAACAGGGTCTATTAAGGAAACCCCCTCTAGAGCTAGAGCCAGGGACCCCCAGCACACACCACCATCCCCTTTTGTTAGGTAGAAAAAGTACAACCAGGAACATATGACAGGGCCTAGAGCTGGGCTTAGCCTGTTCATTGCTCAGGCATGGAGGGTCAGAGGAAGCCGACTATGCCCAACCTGCCCAGGCCTGTCTCTGTCCCCCTCAAAGCAGGAAATGTCATTCGGGATTTGCCAAGGCTGGTAACATCCACACAGGGTGGACAGATACACTTGCTCGCAGGGGCGATTCCTGAAGACGGGTGCTAGGATTGCCTAAAGCACCCTCACCCGCCTCAAGCACTTTTTGTATGGTCGGTCGACCATTCCCCCGAGTCAGTCAGCACTGATTGAGAGGTGCCAAATGCCACCTCGTCCCCAGCATTTCCCCTGGCTGCCTCAGAGAAGAACTTCAACGCCAGGTCCCTCGCAGGCGGGGCCCTCGACAGGGAAATCTCTGCCAAAGAGGAGTGATCCTGGGCTCCACGCTGGCGGCCAGTGCCTGGGCGCGCAGCCGTAGACCCGGCGCTGCCCACCCCGCGCATCCCGGGCGGGGCGCGGCCGCAGATAGCCCGCCTCCCTTCCACCGTCTCGGCGCCCGCCCGCAGCGGCCATGGGGGCGCGGCTGGGGCGACGGGCAAGGGCAGCGGCCGGCTCTGATGCCCCTACCGCAGAGGGCTCCGGGCCCGCGCCCTACGAGCGCCGGGTGCGCTGGCTGCGAGAGATCCAGTCCACGCTCCGTGAGCGGCGACCAGAGCGCGCTCGGCAGCTGCTGCGCCTCCTGCGCCAGGCGAGAGGAGCGGGATGGACCGGGTTGGGGGGGGGGGG